CACTTAATAACTCAAATCTACATGGATAACAGTTAAAGGCCTGTATTTGCTATAGGGTGATCTTGCCTTTCAACTATATTATTCTTGGCATTTGCCTATTCAGGGAATGCAACTCCTCATTACATTCATGTGTGGGAAAATCTATTCCCCCATCATTTGCACTCTGCTCACAATTCCACTGAGGGGACCTCACAGGAACAAACAGAGCTTTCATTTTATACACAGGTTCCAAACAGCCCCCGGGTTATTGCTGGCCCACGTTGTGCAAAATCATATTTGAGTGGATCCACTGGAGCCCCAGTGCTTGTCTACTGCTAGAATAGAAAATTCCTTCTTGTTGTATCACCCAACATTTGATTTGTTGTTTTTAGATTATGTGAGGGCTTCCTGCCTCAAGGAGGAGCATTTTTAGCATTGTTTGATGAAAAGCAGTGTTTGCATAAGGTTGGAAATGTGACATAATGTCCTTGTAAAGTGAAAATGACATGTATCTGATATCACCCAGGCAGCTGATAACAAAGGCTTAGCGGATGGTTTTGTTTGGGCCATAATGTGATTATAAGGCTGGCACAGACCTGTCTGAAAACAATGAATGTTTACTGACAGGATTGTCATAGCAAGTGTGTATAAAACATGGAAGATGTGAGTCAAAAGTGTGTATTTCAGAATGCGGAAGGAGAAGAGAGTGGGTTGTTTGAGGAAGGAAAGACAAAAGAAAAACACAAAGGAGGGATATAGGAAAGGAAAGAGAGCAAGTGGGCAAGGTGGAACAGAAAGAGCCCAGTGTTTTCATGCATCAGCTTTTTGGACAGCTGCCTGTTGGATGATAAGATTAAAGAGTCTTTTAATATGACCTCTGTGCTCCATTTTTGATATTAACACGCCACAGTCTCCCCTCTGAGATAGGTCATTTTATACACAACATGCACCATGTAAAGGTGATCGTGTTTCACCTATAATATTTAGTCATAGTTGAAGCTCTAGATACAGCTAACAAAAAGATGCACTTGTAGCTGTTTTGAGGCCAAAACTATTGCAGCATAGACACGTCGTCAGGCATTATCATAGAGCAACTTATACTCAAACCTGATACTATAGGATAGTGAGCCACAATTGTAGTTTCAGACTCTCAGACTGTCAAAACACAGACGAAGTGTGACTGTGCTTGCTGTGTAGCCCTCCGCTGCTGAAGGAACGGAGAAAAAGGTGCAATCCTCAAGCTCAAACACAGAGTATGGCAGAAGATAACAGAAGAGCTACAAGACAGAGGTCCTCTGTCTCAGTGCAAATAAACTATTCAACAATGCTGGAATGAGAACAGTCATTGCTAAAGGACTGGTTCACAGTTTAACTGCATCAACAACAAAAGTAGTTTAAAGAGAATTGGGGAGAATTTTCTCAGTTTCACTGTTGTGTAACTTTATTCCTGCCCTGTCAGTAGCAGTGCATTGCAGAATCGTACCGCATTCTTGGCTGCACTTCAGGCTTTACAAGTCCACAAGTGTACATATAAAAACTGCAGATTTTAAACAGGATACTATGACCTCACTCAAACACATTGCAATTATGCCAATGATTATGATCTGGCATCATGACTGATTGCACCAAGTTGGTGTCCATCAAGTCTGGACCAGTTGGTGTTGACAGTTGGGATATAAAATAATAAAGTGTGTTTTTTTTATTATAATCATTGGCCCTCTGATTAAATCTCTTGCCATTGTTCAGAGTAAGATTATTACAAACATGATTTTTACAACCACAGTCAAGACGGAGGAAAAAAAGCATGCAGAGGAAATTGTAAAGCAATGGGGTGCTATGAGTGAGAATTATTTTTTAGTCCAGTTCATCAGGTTTCAGTGCAGAACCACAACCCGGCAAAGTTCAATCTCATAAAGCTCCATCTCCCTCCAGCTGTCTCTGCAAAGCCCTTGTTTCCCACATTTAACTATTAGACCACTAGTTTTCTCCCTTTGTTTAAGTGCCTTTTCAATAAAAAATGCAGCATAAATTATACATAATGTCCATTTCTTTTTTGGTACAGGGACAAGGGATTGTATTGTTTTTACTGTTTACCTGTCCAGTGTGAAATCCCCTTTTCTGCCCATAAAAAAAAAAAATGTGTGGAGTGTATGATCTTTGATTCAGTAAATTGAAGGTCTATGCAGGCTGAAGAATTTGAAACTTGACTGGGACTTGAATGCTCTGACTTACTTGAGATTTTACCCCTTTAACACTGAGCTTGAGACTTGATAGTCAGAATATTGAATATATTATGTGTCTATATTAAACCACAGACAGGAGTCTTCAGTTCTGATCATGTAAAAACAGCTTTGAAAGAGATGTGTGCAAATGCTATGAAAGACCTGCAAACCTTGGATCATGACTTCTGCTTTTTACCTGACATGAAACTCTCTCTCTCTCTCTCTCTCTCTCTCTCTCTCTCTCTCTCTATAAAAAAATACAAATAAAATTGAATTGAATTGAATTTAATTGAAACTTGAATTGGACATACTATTGTAACTCTGTTTAGAGGGGAGTATGTGTGGGAATAAAAAGTATTAAAAAGCTCTTTGTGGGTTTATATTTCTTAAAAAAACAGCTCTGGCCAGTTTTCTCCCAAAAAACTGATGTCACAGTATCCTCATCCTACCACCTGAGGTACCTGCAGACCCCAGAGATATAGATTTTGTCATATATCATATCATTCTAATTTATTATGACTTTGTCAGTCAATTTGTTCATAATAACATCATGTCATTCATTTCTATTTATTTTAGTGCTTTTTGGTAAAATTATGTTCAAAGTCAGAAATAGAATAGATCATTTCATAATCATGTTTTATGATTATAGATATATAGATAGATGACATGCAGTCAGAGCGTGATCAGGACATGGTGTAAATTTGGTAATAAGCAAAATATAACCTTTTTTGGTTACAGAGACCGAATATAATAACAATAATCTGTTGCTATGATGGGTTTTCCTTACAGTAGGTTATTCTTCAAGTCCCCATGAAACAAATAAAAAACAGCACATATTGACACTGAAATCCTAGTATCTTTTAATATATAGCAGACTAAAAAAATAAAGACATATATACACACATACATTCTCCCACACACATTGGGGTCAGGCAAGTGTGGCGTGATGACAGCAATGTCAGACTGAAATCAATTTCCAACTTGTCAGCTCATCTCATCCTATTAAAACTACTAAATTAAAGTCTTCTTGCATGCTTAAACTTTCAATAATCAACAGTTATCTCTGGCTCTTTCTGTGGATGAACGTATAATAGTATTTAATGTTACATTTTAAATCTGTCTCTGCTCTTTCTATCCACCTCCAGCTGTTGTGCGCTCTTTCAGTGCTGTCTGTTGTGTTGTCTGAGAGTAATGATTTTTGAAACCTGCACACATGTGCACACACCCACACAAACGGTCATATGGCTGAGTTAACTTGACAGATTGTCATCAGGATACTGTAATGGGACTCAAACCCCCGTACACACCAACACACACAAACACACACAGCAAAGGAGTGTGTCACTGCAGGGCGAGATGATTGACGGGGCTCTAGATGGTGATGGAGACTAACATGAGCCCTGGACAACACTCCGAACAGCATGTAATCTGATAAAACACTAGATTTTATTTATATGAGCACAAACTGTGTGTCTCTGTATGTATGTTAGAGTATTTCGTCCTCAATTTGCATGTGAGTACAACTCTTAATAGATCTGTTGCAGTGTCGCAGTGAAGCGAGTGTTGAAGTATGATTAGTATAATTTTGAAAACAGCAGCACAGCAATTATTTGCTGAGTTACAGGGATGAATTCACAATTAGAATTGTAACTTTCAGAATCATCAATCAACAATTAGACTCAACATAACAGTTTAGAAGCAGTTGTATCAGGTAATACTTTTATGTGAGAATATTTCAGGAAAACACAAAGAGAGGCTGCATCAAGTCTGCACAACTTCTCCCTTTTTACCTAAATAAAGTAAAGGAGTAGGTCTGCAAATCTTTTTTTATTTATTTTTACAAATAATCACTAAATCCTCAAGTCTAATTTTGTAATTCTTAAAGTTACTTATTTTTCTCTTGTAATGTAAAAAAATGTAAGTAAAAGTAAAGGATGGATATTAAAATGTATTATTAAAGTCAACCTAATATAAGTAGCTATACTGATCGATACTGCAGTGTGCAATGACGACATGGAGTCTGATTTCTTGCCTGGTTACTGGTATTATTTTATCATGTTCTACAATGATGTGTGCACAATCTGTGATGTTCTCCCCAATTTGAGCAAAAACAAGAGTGAAGCTGTCAGTGAATCTGGGGCTTGAGCCTCGGCTCTTCTGTCTGACATAATGAAGCGTCTTTGATCAAGACACTAAACCCCAATTTGCTCTCAGTGAATAGACCAGTGAGTGTTTGCAAGGCACGGTAATGTGACAAATACGGCACTCTAATATTTCACATGGTCACAACTAAAGAAGAAAGTGACGTATTTCATAAAGTGTGAATCGTTACATCAGTGTTTAAAAGAATTAACATTATTTGTTTTGTGTAAGGTGACATATTTACTTGTTTTATTCCAAAAAACAATAAACTAAAGGTATTCAATTAATATACTTATAGGTCAGAAAGTCCTCACATTTGAGAAGCTGCAGCAAAAAAACAGTTGTCTCTCCTTGATAAAAATGTAAATGATCAATTCACCAACAACATTGCTGAAAATTAATTTTCTGTCTATACACAATTGATCCATGGATGAATCATTCCAACACAAACAGATAGTTTATGTAGTTTACTGATCATGTCACAGGATTTCTGTGTAATGAAACCTCTTCAAACAGTATTCAACAATATCTTGTTGCCAGTGGAGCTGTTGAAGTTTGAAATATTGTATGGTTTCTGTTTGTGTCTGTCTTTTATGCTGGATGTGGGTGTTTGTATGTGTCCTTATCTGTGTGTTTGTTTTTTCTTTAGGTGTTCCGGGGGCGTTGAGGTGATGCAGGTCCCCCGGTCATCCCAGTGGAGGAGCCAGCTAATGACGAGCGGCTTTGGCTGCTGAACGCCCCCCACCATCACCACCCTCATCCCTCCCTCGCTCCCTCCATCTCTGATGGCTCTATGGGGCGTCATCAGCCTCAGCCTTCACTGCTGGGTGTGTTTACGGTCTGCAGTAATAGCAGCAGCAGCAACAGCCAGCCTCCCCAATGACAAGCCCGGAGGCCCCCTGGACTGGCTCCTGTCTGATAAAGGGCCCTTCCACCACTCCCCAGAGTACATCGACTTTGTGGAGAAGAACCGACAAGGCTTCTCCACCAGATACAAGATATACAGGTGAGTCATGACTGCAGGATGAAGAGGCACTGTACACTCTATATACTACCGCTATATCACTGCTACTATAATATGCATGTCAAATCTCCCAGCAGCCACATCAAACAGTCTTCATGGTTGTCCTTTTAAAGATCGGCTCTGTGTAAATAAATAAATAATGTGGGTACACATTTAGATTAGTATAACTCACAAAGTCACAGTATTCGGTCCTTAGCCACAGCCTGTACTCAATAGCACCTAATTATCATTATCATATGAAGATGGTTTAGTCTATGTAGATTAGAGGTTTGATCATTACGAAACATAATTTTAGATGATATGGTAGATCTGCAATAAAACATATTTTGCACACTACTTTATTATTATTTTTTATTTTTGGTGGGAAGATTCATTATACAGTACTGATTTACATCTGTGGTCAAGGCTAACACTACCAAAAATCATGTTTTACAGTTTTGAAAATGTAAAAAAAAAAAAAGTGAGTTTGATACCAATCTTGTGTCTTTGAGGTAAATACAAAGCTACATCCATCGGACGGTTAGCTTAGCATAAAGACTGAAAATGGGAAAAGTGTCAGCTTTAGACAGAGCCACCTGTCCAGCTCTCAAATGAACATGCTATTTCTCATTTGTTTAATCAGTTATCAGAAATAGTCCTCCACACCCCTGTGAAACCACAATTGAGGTTGAGATGGAATATTTCCTAGAAGGCTGAACTTTTCATTTAAATGCAGTTAGCACAGCCATGACATATTTAATTGTTCACAACCACAGCGGCTCAGAGGCTGAGGACCTCCATTATAGCTATTAGACACAGTCACTGCAATAATTAATCAACTATAATTCCATGAACATTACTTTCATCATGTGCATGTTGGTTTGGGGGAAATATTCTGTGTAAAGGATTTTACAGTATACATCTAATGATTCAGCATTATTCTTTGATCTTGGAAAAGATAACTCCTATTCTTCCCTGTACAAACCCATTAACAGTCAGCTGTTAAACAAATTTTGGGGGCTTTACTAACTGTAAATATCAAAATGTGCAAGTCCTTACCTGACCCTTATTAAAGCACTCTAGTGAACATTATATTGCTTGCAATGGATGCACTGCAGTCAAATCATGTCGAGTTGAATTGAATGAGAAAAATGAGAAAAGGAAGGGAGTGCACTTTCATCTGCCATGGTTGAATGAACTTACAAATGCACATATGCACACACATGCTGGTTAAGGAAAAGGTTGAAGTTGAGAACAAGGTCATTCCAAGGGCATTACAACATGTATGTGATAATGTAATGTGAGTACAAGTGTGACAGTAGTGTTCACAGCTGCAGCCGCAGAGGGCTTTTATGATCAGTACATTTGCTTTTTCCTGCTAAGGTTTTTTTATTGTGACATCAAAATGATGTAAGGGAGAAGATGCAACACAACTGCACATCTTAAATTAGTGCTCACAGTGTACAATATGCTTCATGAAAGGCCTATTCATGGCTATTTAGTAGGCAGACTGTATCATTTCCCCAGTGTTGTCCTGCAGAAAAAGGCTTTAATGTAATCATATGAACAGCCAATGTTCACAAGATACCTGGCACATGCCTAGACAGAATCAGGATGTATTTCATGCAGGCATGTTGCTATCAGCTGGCTTCCAATCCCTCAGGGAGTTACCTGATCAGATGGTCAACTGAAATATGTTGATTAGCGCCGGGGAAAAAAATGAAGATTTGTCATGACAGCAACACAGTCTGAGGTATCGGCATGCAACCGAATTAGTTGAGATTGTGTCATGAATCATATCCATCGTCATTTAGGAGGATGTTGTCCAGGCTTCTGGAAATAGATAGACAGGGTTCCTGACATCTATGGATTGGTGCGAGGATGCTTTATGGCTTCGTTGAACGGTTGCTGCATTAGAGCTTTTTAATATTTCCTTCTCTGGCAAAAGGCAGCGATCCGTTGGAGCCGAGCTGCATGGGCGGCAAGATTAATAGTCTTATCATGTGGCCAAGTGATTAGTGAGCTCTTAGTACTTATTACTCTGCATTATCACAGAATCCCCTGAGAGGCTTCTGTCAGCTGCAAGGTTGTGTTTGAGGCTCTCTAGATTACCACAATGTGGCATTGATTAATAGTGATGATATTAAAAGGAAAAACTAACCTAAAAAGTAAATAGCCTGTAAATCTTCCTAAATTGAAATTCACTTGGATTCAGTCCCATTTGATTTCAGAAAGGAATCAGACAAAGACAGGAAGGATACAGCTGTGGGTAAGCTTCTGTTTTGGCAAATAATAGCTCTCTTTCAGTCCCTGTGTTGGTGGGGTGAAATGTGGCGATGATTTTGGGAGCACACACCTGGAGCGGGCTCATAAAAAATTCAGTAGGGTTGTTTTATTAAGGAAAGTGGGCCCACTGCAATATTCTCTCAAGGGAACCAAATTTCGTAGCTGTGCTCCTGCTGTGTAATATAGCTCCTTAAGTTTCTAAATCAAGCTTTAACCCTTGTGTACCAACAAGAGGAAGAGGAAGTTATTTTCCAACCTTTCCATCTTGTAAAAGGCAAAGGAATATCTATTGCCACTTCTCACCACAGGTTAAACTACATATGAGCTGCAAGAAGCTCAACTAAAGGCTGATGTTACCTAGTTTCATTTAAAGAATAGTGATCAGAAGAGGTTTAATTAATTAAAATAAGTCTTTGATAGCGTACCTGAAATTCAGCAGATATTAGACTTTTTACATTTAGTTTAATAAAACATGCCGAGAATCTCAGTGCACCACTGTTGAAGCAGCTGTACAAGACAAACTTTGCCTGAATAAAATAAAACGTTTTAATTAGTGATTTGATGCTGCAGACACATCAAATATTGACGTGTCCTTTAAAAAGAATTGAGGTTCAATACCTAGCTGTAAAGAAAAAAATCAGTTCAGCTCCTCAGATTTATCTTTTGACCTGTGGTTATTTTTACTCTGTGGATCTATGGTCAACCTGCAGTGTCTTATGTATCATAATTAATTTTGATTAATCTAAACTTAATTCTAAATAAATATTCCAGGGTAATCTAACATGAATCTACCTCTCCATATCAAACCTCTTAAAGTTAAACATATGGCATTTAGTAACCTGAGTCATCATCAGTTTATGGAAATCAGCGTTCACTCGGTAATTATCAGATGATTAGGTTTATTCCTGGAATTATAGGTAAAACTGGCAAATGTATAATTAGCAAACATGCCTTATAGCAGATTATCTAGAGCCTTTGCTTATGCAACATTGACTTTTTTTTCAGAAAAGATGCTGCATTATTGTGATGAAAACATTCAACTATTCAAATTGTTATTTGTGTTCCATCACTATATTGGAATGGATTCAAAGGATTTTTCAGTTGTTTGATGATCACAAAAGCTAATTTGCATGCAGCGAGGATTACGAGATTAAAACTGCTGCTAAACTTTCTAGATATGAAGGAAGAGAACAACTGTTTCTTCAGTAAATATTGTTATAAAGAAGGGCTAGAATTAGGTAGTTTGAGGGAGAGGGGCAAAAAAAATTAAAATAAAAATGGCACCAGCATGTAGAAAGTTGTGTTGCATTTATGGTGAAACTGTTTAGTCAGTGTTAGTGATTAGCATCCTAGAGGGCATTTGTTTGTGTGTTGTCTGCTGGAAGGGCACCCAAGAGGGCACAGGTGTCCACCAGTGTTATAAAGGATAAAGGTGATCGGAATTTACAAAGTGCTGTGCATATGGAAGAAACATAGATAATATACACAAGTGGAAACCACTGCAACTCACACGAATCCAAGCCAATAGCTGCTGTTCTTTAGTCAACCTTTTAACTTTTAATAGCCATATTGTATTAGATATTAAAAAGATGTGGGTGGAATATAACATAAATCCAAGTCACTGAGATTAAGGGGTATGGACACTTATGTATCCATATTTAATTCATTCCTCTTAAAAACTTCATAGCAAAGTTGCTGAAGCTGCTGACATAGATGTCAAAATCATCAACAAAAAGTAATTGCGTTTTCAGTGTGTCAGTCAGCATCATTGTACATCAACACATAATGAATTAAAACAATGGGACTCTAATAATTATCTTCAATTAGTTTATTCTGCAGACCGGAGCAGATATGACACTCCCACCCTTTGAGTTTAACTTGATGAAATGAAAGCAGCTTACTGTTTGATAGAAGAGCCACTTCAGGCACAGTGAACAACAGCAGATTTCTTAAACCACAGGGGAGTCTGCAGGTGCTCTGAAGAGGGTTGAGGTGAGTGTTTTAGAGCAGACTCCCTCAGCGCTGTTTCTCAGCATCCCACTGCTGCATTCGTACTGATGTTCTTTGTCTCGTCTCCTTTCCTAACAATTCCCTCAGAGGTTTTGGCATCTCCAACTTGCTCCTTGCGGTAAATAGGTTGGGGAAATGACAGTAATAAATACTAGTTACCCATAAGACACTTTTCCTCAATTGCTGTTTAAAACATCAGAAAAAAAGTATTGGTCTTTAGTGGAAGTCATAAGGGACACAAGATTAGACAGTCTATCTCATATCAGCCTGATTAATTGCTCAGTTTTTACTTCAGTTCTCATTTGTATTCAATTTGTTAATGCTGCGGGCAACTGATGTAGGCAATTTCTCTCTAGTTGAGCTGTCTCGCTAAAGTTTGATTTGATAAAGATCATAAAAGTGTAAAAAGAGGTGATTTTCAAGTAAATGGAGGGAATTATCATCATGGTTTCCTTTTTAATCATCAGGTTTTTTGCCACACTAGTGGCATGGATGTATGCCAGTCCGTGCATTTTGTCTTATTCTCATTGTGGATAAATCATACTGACTTTGGTGATCCCCTGACTTTTCTTCTAGTGCCACCCTGAGTTTGTGATTTCTCAATTGAAATGCTTCCACAAATATTTGATGGATTGACATGAAATTTGATTCTGACAATAATGCCCCCCTCAGGATGGCGAATATAATCACTAAAGTTTCCATACAGC